ACGTTTGTCAAATTACATAAATACAAAGATGGGTTGTTCGCTTTTCTAATTTTCTCATGAATAATTCAAAGCATGTCACTTGACGTTAAAATGATCCTTCTAATACCTGTTATTCCTCTCAGTCTCGATCGGTAATCGCAATAACTCTAATCTTTGACGCTCTTCCTGTAGTTATTGATGTTGTCGGTCGAATCTTTGGACCAAGTTTTTGAATAATTGAGAAAGAACTCTTATCTTCTCGTCAACTTCAGACGCGATGCGATGCATGTGTTTGCATATGTGACTAAGTAAACGGTTTATAAACACATTACACATTACACAATACACCTTTTAATTAAAGTTGTATTACCTAGCGAGGAAGTAATTCACAGCCTCGCTGTGTTTTTTTCAGTTGAAGCCAAAAATCGATGAATATAAAGATTTTTTTTTAATTTGTCTTCAAATATTTTAAATATTTTATATGACATAATTCGAACCAGGTTCTCCCTTACAATATTTCGTTGACTCACCTAAATAATTGTCACGTCCCAGTAGCGTATGTCGCTAGGGCACGATTTATTGAAAAAGTGTATTATAATACACCACACTGATGACACTCCCAATGTCCACGACAGACGGACTATACAAAGGAATAGACGCAGTTCTTAATATTTTTGTGATTGGCCATTAAAGGTTAAATCATTCAAGACTATAATGGTATGTAAGCTTCATTTCATATGCACAATATTATAGTTTTTTGAAACACACCCAACAACATCATTATTGATACTGTCTTTGACAAGCTATTGTATGATTGAACGCCACATTTTGTAGCCGCCAAAATTTTTATGTATTTTTTACTTAAAATGTCTTCTTTAATTTTTGATCAAATACACATATTGTCCCTTTGTTCACAGATATTGATAAACAATTTTGAAAAAAATGTCGAAAACAATTTCTGTATGTTGTCTTAAAAGAGTTGTAGGTCATAGGATTGAGGGGCGGAATCATGCTATATACCTGGTTGGGTTTTAAAAAATGCAGTAACATAGATACCAACACTGTAAAACTTGTTGTAATACGACTCGGTTCGATATAAAACTCATACAAAATGATTCATTACTTTTATTTAATCAGTTAATTAGCCAATGAATTATTAAAATAAGTGATGACACCCCAATGACCACTAATCGCTACGCTACACTGGTTAGTTGATTACAGACAGTACAATTAGGTAATGAGCAGACACGAAACATCGATCAAAATTCAAATTATGAATATAGTATTTCTTTTAAATTATTTAATTTGGTACCTTTCTAGGAATTTATTTTTTATTCTCGTGTACCTATATTAATATTAAAGATTCAATATGGATTAGAACATTGATTTTTTAATACTGCAGCTTAGTACCGAACGTACGTTGATGAATACATTGGATTATCGATAACTAAAATCGATGTTCTTGAAGTTCACATGCAAGTATTCACTGGAACAATGGAAGTCCCTATTGCCGGTCTATATACCGCGCATGCGTATTATGTGTTTTCATTCTTTATTCAACAGTGTGCTTCGAAACAAAAACTTTTAGTGTACGATAAATCATAATCCAATTTAACATGCCACATCAAACAACCC